AGAACTGAGGACAGAGCTTCACAGCTTCGCCACGACAGTCTGCACACACTCAGCCTTTAAAGAGATGTATTTGAAGTATTTGAATCAATATTTAATGTGACTTACATCTGTGTGTGCAACATTTAAGGCAAAAAAATATTCATTTGTAAAACCATAGATTTCCAGGGATACCACAAAAATTTACATAAACTAATCAAAATTGAGCAAAGTAATTTCTTTTTTTTTTATGTGTTTCACAATTGAAGTGAATTTAAAGTGAGTTTTACTTTCAGTGACACAAATTACAGATAGCGTAATCATGACCTGATAGTTTCCAGTGTACTATGTGGACTCTCCAGTCCAGAAGATAGCAGATTCAACCCTGAATCCAGGAGGTCATTGTCACTCAGGTCCAGGCTCTTCCCTAAGACCTAAGAGGACTGGGAAAAGCTGAGAACTGAAGACAGAGCTTCACAAGCTGTCTTTCTGAGAGGTTACAGCCACCTCAGTCCTGTAGAGACAGCATAAAAAGGGAAAAAAATAAAAAGTGAGTAAGGTTTATTATTTCCTGTTATATAGCAGAAGATATAGCAGACTCTTTTAAAAATGTGATAAATCAACCTCCTGCTGTACTTACAGGCCTTTTTTTGAGGCTTTGACCACTGGCAGCAGCCTCAGAAAGCCTCCTCTGAAGCAGAGTATTTCTTCAGGTCAACACACGTCCAGATCTTTTTCTGATGAAAAGTATATGAAGACCAGAGCTGACCACTGAGCAGGAGACAGTTTATCTGTGGAGAGACTTCCTGAACTCAGGACTGTTGGATCTGATCCACTAGAAGAACGATCATTCAGTTCATTCAGACAGTGGAACAGATTGATGCTTCTCTCTGCAGAGAGATTCTCACTGATCTTCTTCTTGATGTACTGGACTGTTTCCTGATTGGTCTGTGAGCTACTTCCTGTTTGTGTCAGCAGACCTTGTAGGAGAGTCTGATTGGTCTGCAGTGAAAGACCCAGGAGGAAGCGGAGGAACAAGTCCAGGTGTCCATTTGGACTCTGTAAGGCCTTGTCCACAGCACGATACTGGCTTACGAGATGTGATTCCACCGCGATAGTTTAGACATCCAGGATGTTGTTTGTTCTTCTGCCCAGCAGATTGACTCCAGGGAGTGATGAATGTCAGATGGGACATAAAAGCCCAGCCAGAAACTCGCTGAACACTCAGATGGACGAAGCAGAAGACCTTGTCCTTTCGGTACAAGTCCACTCTTCCTCTTTAAAAGATCTGGTGGGTGAACCACTTCCTGAGCTACACTGAGCTTGCTCTGATATTTGATGCCACACTCCTGTCAGGTCTGATTCAAGAAGATTCAAAGGTTGCCTTTCTGCCAGCTGCTCAAAAGCAGTTGCCGCAGGGGAGACTTCAATCATCTCCTTTGTTTGTTTTAGTACTGGATTCCACTGTGCGATCGACTCAAGAAAAGCCCCTTTGCTAATACTTAGAGCTCTTCAGTTGGACTGCACAAACAGGAACGCTGGATGTACGATATCTTCAGTTCCAGCGGGTCCTTGGGCAGCTTCTTACCTTCCCTCTCTGGTTTCAACACATCCTCCAAAACCGTAGCAAGTTGATCCAGCAGAAGACTGGGGATGTAAGCACATAGGATCGGTGGAGGCCTTGTGATGTCTTGATGTGGAGATGAGTATCTTGCGACAAGCTTCTTCATCTTGGTCATTTCTTTGCGGAAGTATTCAGTTTTTGAGGATCAGTGAAACCCCTCTGGACCGTTGTGTTCAGCGTGTTGGGTCAACGACGAGCTGCGGAGGGGACGGGAATCTGCATTGCTGCTGCAGGTCGGTGTTGGTTATCCGAGGAGCGCGAGCAGGAGGGGGAAAGCGGGGTGTTCCGCCCCCCTGATGAGGGTTTGTCAGCAGCACACCCACTGAGGTGGACTCTGTAACATCAGTCAGGATCTCAGTGTTGTGGAAGTCCAGAGGAAGTCGACACTCATCCAGACCGTCAAAGATGAACACAACCTGGAACTCTTCAAACCTGCAGATTCCTGCTTCTTTGGTTTCAGTAAAGAAGTGATGAACAAGTTCCACCAAGCTGTACTTTTTCTCTTTCAGCACATTCAGCTCTCTGAAAGTGAATGGAAATGTGAACTGTATGTCCTGGTTGGCTTTGTCTTCAGCCCAGTCCAGAGTGAACTTCTGTGTTAAGACTGTTTTCCCAATGCCAGCCACTCCCTTTGTCATCACTGTTCTGATTGGTTCATCTCTTCCAGGTGAGGTTAAAAGGTTCTTCTTGTCTGATTGTTGTTTCTGGTCTGTCTGGTTTCCTGGATGCTGGTTTCAATCTGTCTGACCTCATGTTCATCATTGACCTCTGCAGTCCCTCCCTCTGTGATATAGAGCTCTGTATAGATCTGGTTCAGAAGGGTTCGGTTTCCTGCTTTAGCAATCCCCTCAAAAACACACTGGAACTTCTTCTTCAGGTTAGATTTAAGTTTTTGCTGACAAACTCCAGAATGACTTCCTGAACGAACACAAACAAAAATCATCAGGGTTGGTCAGTCAGTGTGTCTGGGTGATCCTGTCTCATCTTTGTTTTGACTTTAGCTGCCTTAAAAAGTTGCCTCCCATTCGGCCCGAACACAGTTTTGTTAATAGAGAAGAGTGCTTCCTGTGATCCTATACATGGTCAGGGTTTCTGGAATATTCATCAAAAACTACATCTTAGCTGTTTATAACAATAGTTCCTGGGTACAACGTGTGTAAGTGTAACTGCACACCCAATGATTGACTCCACAGCCCACAGTCATCAGAAAAGGAAACATGCTATTTGGATTTAAGAGCAGCGGACTTTGGGAAAATCCACCCATCATCATCCAGACTTTGACTCCTATATATCAAACATGTTTGAAAATTAACGAGGTGGCCCAATAAATCTCAACACCAATTTCTCTGACCAGGACCAGATTTCTCATTCTATTGTCAGGAAGGGTGAAGCTGAGTTAAATAATTTTTTGATTGTGGGGCCCTAAACAGGTCCCTCAGCAACAGACTGCTGAACCCACACCTAAAAGTGTAGCACAGAAATTATGCTTAAAGCTGGACAAACATGTAAATATTTGACAGAACTCCTGACGGACAAACAACGCAGAGCATAAAGCCATGTGCATAAAACCGTCCAGGTTATTTTGGTAAATACAATCTGTACTTGGAGACACTGTTCCTTCATGAGTAACGCAAGTATCATTGTCTGTGTCAACCTACTCTTTTTACCTGAAATACAAATAAATAAAGTGTGACTGACCTTCTGGTCCTGAGCTGGTTTCTGGCAGACTCTGCACCAGATCATTTCTGTATATCCTCTCTAAAACCTTCTTGGTCACCTTTAGAGCTCCATCAAGGTTAAACGTGTTCACCATAAGGTCAACTGTTTTCCACCTTTCTGCCTTCTCCAGCTCAGATACTCTGATGGTTTTGTAGCCTTCCAGGATGTGTGGCTGCTTCAGATACCATTTGAACTTCTCTAATTCCTCATCTATTAAATCCTCGAGAGTGTTCAAAAGGTTCTCTGCCGTCATTGTGGCTCTTTGTTCAGGCAGTGTTGGCAACCTGAAGGAAAACAGTTACACAAATGTATCAGAGCAACAACAGGAGTTAAAGCATCACCACATGGGAACTGACACATTTTCAGTTTGCATTTGTTCCACCAACTTTTAGTTCTTGAATATGTTTGTTGTTGTCTTTAGCCATGCTTGCAGCATGGCTCACAATACTAAACACCAGAAAGATAAAATCATCATGAAACCACAACTTTAAGGTGAACACGTGTGAAAAAAACATAGTGGTCAATGTTCTACAGAGAACAAAAAGTAAGCGACGAGGCAGCTCTGTGGTGATTATCATTATTATTTTAATATTAATGTTAGCGAAAATATGTATCATGTATATATACAAACACATTATATATGTATGTGTCTCTGCTGACTTTCTTCAGCTGTCACCCAAAAAGCACAAAAGGATTTTTTCAGCCATGATTCAGTTTTAATAACAGCACGCTTATTGTCAGTGATGTAGTCTATCATAACGATGCTGTTGCTTTACTTGGTAAAATAAAGACTGTATCTGCACAGAGAGCGTCTGTCTCTGTGTGTCTCTGCAGGGTGACTGTCAGTAGACTGTACATTCACTGGCATGGATTCACTGACAAACCCATTCAAACGTCTGACTCTCCCCCATCCAAGTACAAGATTAAAGACATTATTCTTTTTCATTATTTTTTGGCGTTGAGACTAAAAGTGCTCCAATATCAGAAGAGTCGCACTATAAAGATGTAAAGATTGTTGTGCTTTCCTTCAAGCTACTGTTATTTTTTAAAGAATGAATGCTGAACCCTAAATGTTGTGTTCTGTTGGATAATATTAGGCCATGCATTAATGCTTGATTTACATAATTTATAATGAAAATGTTATAGATTGATGTATAAAGCAATATTTGTCCCAAATGTGTCATCCACTAGATGGCCCATGGAACTGATGAGGAGGATTTTACTGTTCCACCTGATGGAAATAAAAAGTTTATTGTAGTTACTGACCTTAACCACTGGAGGGCAGTGAAGAGTCATCAGCTTTCCACCTCCTCCTCTTTTATCTTTTTCTACCTCCTCATTCATTCCCCTGCCTCCCCTCTTTTTCTCCTCCTATCCTCAAAGCAACAGCTGACAGCAAACATACCACACAACAAACAAACAAAACAAAAGCTCCTGATCGAACTAGACTAGCACAATAATACAACGTTAGTGCTTCCCTGTGAAAAGCTAGTTAGCTAGCAGCTACAACTAAGTATGCAGCTTTCAGCTCTGCAGCTCCTGCTCTGCTCTGTTGTTATAAAGAGTCTGAACTGACAGCACAAAATACTTCCACTCTAAGGTAGCTTACTCCCTCCCCTCTCCACCTCCACCCTCTGTGTGCGTTGATGCTATCTTTCTATTTTATTTTTAAACAGTTAGAGGTCTAGTGTGTAACATTAAGAAGCATCTATCTATCTAATATAATATTAAGTATGTTTTCATTGGTGTATAATTACCTAAAAATAAGAATCCTCATGATTTCTTTACCTTAGAATAAGGTATTCCTTTTTTAACTTGAAAGGAAAAGGTGAAATGAGGGAGTTGTGATCTGCAACTATACTGTTAGATGCCACTTAAGAAAAAGAAGAAGAACAAGAAGATACACTTTTATTGGGCAGGTATACATACACACACAAGAAATCTAACTCAATCAGAGTTTGTAGTTTCTGTTGCCACATTTAATCATTAAATCCAATCCAATCCAATTTTATTTGTTAAGCACTTTAAAA